TGTCATAAAGGCTTAGTCATGTCTCTTGACCAAGCAATGAGCTGGTGCCCTGACAGTTGCACCAAGCTGAGATCAACCTGAGATAGTGGGGAAGGGGCAGGGGGCATGGCCAGAGTACTTCCAGGGAGTCTTGCCAAGCTCTCTGGGAGCTCATCCCAAAATCATGCAGGAAGTTGGCTACGATTGATCTGCCTGGACCATGTCAGGTCCACAGGCATGGGCTGGTTGAGCAGCAGAACAGGAAGGTTGGCAATTGGGACATAGTGCCAATGGGTGGCTTACGGAAGAGGAGTGGTAGCCAATTCATCATGCAAAGGAAGTAAAGGGGTAGGTGGACTGCTTATTCCTTTGAGTACCTATCAATATGGTGTTGTTTCAGGTGCAGTTACCAGACACAAGTGGTCCAACATACCATGTCTGGATGGGAGAGACCATCCTGCAGAGAAGAGGACTCTGGCATTGTGCTGCAACAGAACCTGGCTTTTTTTCTAGCCCAGTGGGTGGCCAATTTGAGAGTGTATCCATTGGCCTCCTCCTGATCTTCAGTGACCTGAAGATAATAGGCAGAACACTTGCATTGATGGACCAAAAGCTTTCCTCTCTCAGAAAATGACAATTCACAGGTACAACAATATCCAAACATGATGGGTAGGGCCAGTAGATGAGACAACATGGGGGCCCCAATGGATCAACTGATCAGTCTGGCAGTTGAGCATCAGGGGAAGGTCAGCTTGATTAGTCATATCAGTGGCACACATGTGGAGGGTGTGGAGGCAATTGTGGGTGGCATGGCACCTGCAATTGAATGAGCCCTGGCCAGACAGGCTTGTGTCAGGTTATGATATCACCTGACACATGTGATGGAGACACATGCTACGGGTGATAAGGAAAAAGTTTGTTTATGAGATGTGCTGTGGCACCCTACAAATGGTGAGCAGGCCTGGTCATCTGCTGCCATTTCTTCTACCCACATTCCTTTGTCAGGATGAGCTCCACCCTTGGAAGCCCAGTCAACTTCATGATGCCACCTTCTTTATCTGGTGTGCAGACCTTATCATTTGCTGACAGCCTCCCTCCTCTGGGCTCCCCTCTGCCATCCTCACACTCTTCTCCCAACTGTCCTTCCCTGTCGGCATCTCCATCCAGGATCTTACAACTGCATGTTGCCAAGCACAAGAGGCACAGGGAGGAGTTGGATGCAGCTGCCAAGCATGCCAAGTAACCCCCCTTTTGTTCCTGAGCACCTGACACAACTGACCTGACACTCATAGAATCAAAGGCTGCACCTTTTGCAGTGGTGGGAAACATGTTGGCAGAGCACTCACACTGTTTGGTAATGTGGAGGAAATCCTAAGAGATGGGAGGGAATGGTTTGAAGTGGCAGATGTTGAGGAAATCGACAAAGATGAGTAAGTGGCATGCCTCTGTTGTGATGCCATGAGCTGAATGACTGATTGCCCAGTGGGCATAGAGTATGAGAAAATGTCAGGATATATCACAATATGGTCCTGGTAATGCCTGAGATCAAGGATGAGCTAGTGTCATGCATGCATGGGATGTTGACTGAGCTTGCAAGTCAGGTAGGTCTGGTGAGAGTTCACTTGACACATCACTAACTCCATGGGCAGATCGAAAGCAGCTGGGCCATTGGCCGCACTGATGAGATGTTAGGGCAACACAGGCTGACTAAGTCTGCTCACCTAAGAGTGCCAAGAGTCTAA